GAGCCACGCTGGGTGCTTGCCTTCTGCTGCCTAGGGCTCTGGATAGCTTGTGCCGCTGTCTTGGGGTTGTAAGTGTGGCCTGAGAGGGATGGCGAGGCTCCTCTGGAGGACAAGGGTTTGGCGCTCTCCCTGGTCTTGTCTTCCTCTGCTGGAGAGAATGGATCCTCCAGCCCCGCCCAGGCCACCACAGGTGCTGCCAACACGAATGACGTTGAGCTGGCCATGCCCACTCCAGCCATGCTCCCCACCCCCCTGTGGTCAAACACAATCCTCATGCGGCCCTCAATGAAATTGAGTTTGACAGCCTTGGGTTATAAGAACCCAATCCAGTTCCGAAAGATATTATTTCCAGGAAAAACTTGTTCGTGCCAAACTATCAAATTCTCTCTACCGTTTCTGAGTTACTTGAGATTATACGTACCTTGTGTTTCCTGCATGAGCTTAGGCTCCAGACGTCCTTTCTTAATTTCATTCAACTATATTTTAGCTTAAATTAGTTTCAATTTATCCTACGGTAGTTGTAACTTTATCATACCTCCCTGTTTAAAAATAATGTTGTAGAAATTAAGCAGTTTCATACAACTTTCCTACAGCCCATTGTAACGAAGCTTTTAAATGGTCATCTTTCATTAAAAGTCCATAGGTTTGTATGGGCCAGAATTCTCACAAGACTTGCCCTCTTACCACCTGTACAGGATATGTGTTAGCGGCCCTTAGAGGCAGGCCTTCTGTGAACACTTTCCTTGGATGATGTAATAAAGCAAGGAAGACGTTTAGCATCCTCTTCCGATTAATGTACGACCCGCTTGTGTCTTGCAGAACGTCGAGATGTTGAGCAGCATGGATTCAGCCTCCATCAGAATCATCAAGCCTTTCCCTGTTGTGCCCCCGGCAAGTCGGCACCAGCCTTTGCAGCCCATCGTACCCGTGTCTGTGGCAGCAGGGCCCCCAAAACTGGATCACCAAAGAATGGACACTATCCAAGAGGATCCAAGCACAGACTCGCATATGGAGGAGGATTGCTTTGAGAAAGATCCTTTTCCAAACAACAGTACAGCTGCCAAATCCTTTGAAGACCTCACAGATCATCCGGTCACCAGGAGTGAGAAAAGCTCTTTTAAACTGCAGCGCCAACATAGAGTAGACAGCAAAGAAACCGAGTGCTAGTCTCTGCCTTCTCAGCTGCTGATTCTTCTGCACAAAACCAAGTTCAGCTAGTTGATCTAAAGCCATTTCATTATATTCTCTGCCTCTCTGTGTGTTTGTGTGTGTGTGTGTATGCATTTATACATGCATATGCATATATATGTATACTGAGAAAAAAGCAAGGAAGTGACCAACTGCAGATGCTGGCCATATGTATGATCTTCCTGATATCAGTGTGAAAGAGTACTGCCTAAAAGCATAAAAACTGAGGTCAGATATATTGAGTTTTTCTGACTCTCTTCTGTATTCTCAAATTGAACCTACCTTTCAGTGGATGGAATCAAGCCATAATCTCTCTGACCCAAGATTTGTATATCGTAGTATTTTTATATTGTGCCTTCTTGGTATTAAACGGCACTGCTAAAGGAGATTTCTTTTTCCCCTCCAGAATACAGTCCTTCCAAATAAATGAAGTCGTCTTTTATTAGAGACTTCAGGAATGCTGCTGAACAGTATTGTTTTTTTTTTTAATGAAAGATGAAGGGAACCTTTCAATTTAATTGGTATTCAGGAAAGGCAGAGATTTCAGCTAAATTTGAAGGGAGTATCATAGCAGCTAATTATTTCAATGCAAATCTTGGAATCCAAGTAATGTTTTCCGAATAAAATATAGTGTGGCTTTAATTACGCCATTCTGATCGAACCCGACAGGAAATTAATCAAAATCCAATTGAGATAGAAGCAATGTTTTCACTGATTTTCAGATTTCTATGCACATAGGGTGCTGGGTATTAATCTCTGATGCAAAACGAACATCTTAAATGTGTAATTGTCATTTCACTTTTTTCACTTTGTGAGGAAAGAATGTAAGTCTAGAAAGGGGACTTCATAAAACTGTATTTCAAACCATGCCAGTGTACAGCATCCAGGGCATCTGCATGTTGTTTCGTCTGTGGCGTATTTCACATTGCATTTTTACGGCTGATCTGCTTCTGTGAGGAAGCAAAAGTTGTGGTTGCAATGAGGAAAAAGACCTGAGCGTCTTGTTGTGCAGGGCTCCTCTGCCACTAGCCTGGCTTATCTCAGTCCTGATCTCCGTCAAGTGCCAATTGCTGCCTTTGTGGCTTTCTCCAGGCCTTTTGCTGAGTGAGCAAAAGCAGAAACGGCACAGCCCTCTCCTTTTAATGGGAAGGGATCTCAGGAGGGATCGCCTGATCTCAGGAGTTGAGGCAGTGCATATAGAAGCGGTTGGCTCACGATCCAAAGGGTAGCATTATTTCCAATTGCACATCTAATCATGTCCTGAGTTATGCTTTATATAAAACACAACAGCTTGGGAGCTGGTCCACATATCAGAAAAAATGACTGATGAAAAATTTGTATTTTGTAGCATCTAATTAACAAACCTGTACATTTTTCATGGATATTTGTTACACTACTTGAATTTGTGTCCCTGAGGTATTTTTACCGATATTCTGTTAATTTTTTAGATTTCATGCCCATCTGTAAAGTAACCTTTGTATGAGGAGTAAGAGCTCCCATTGCCATGTAATAAAATGATTTTCTAAAATATAAATAGTTGGTGGTAATTAAAGCTTCAAGTTTTTCAGGCCCTGGATATGTCAACCCTGGCTGGGCTCCTAAAGCTAAGTAAGATCAGGCCCGGTTAGTACCTGGATAGGACAGATTCAGCAAGAATCCCTAAACTGTAGGCTAGATTAGACATTCCAAAAACATTCTAGAAGGAGCAGGAAGAAACCACTGTCCGTATTATTGCAAAGCTACTTGAATGATTGTGTCCATTGGGTCACAAGTTAAGCTTGTATCAAGGACAACTTATAAAAGTTTTTCATGAGATGCATCTTGGCATTCATTGAATAGTTGTAAATATTGATACACAAGTCCCTTTTTCTGTGACAATTTAAAAGCTTCAATAACCCGTTAAACATTGTACTTCGATGTGTGTCGTAGTAACCAAGGCAATTAAATGCTGCAGTTGTCTATTCTATCTTGCATTCAAGAAACAGCTATGCGGGAGACTTGTAGACTGATAAGTAGTCTAAAATATTTACTTTGCCCGTTTATTTTCAATTGTATATGGAGGATGTGACTGTAACTGATAATAGGTGCAATAGCAGCAATCAAAAATAGAACATGAATGCTTGTTCTTTAAAAACTGATCAGCTCATCTTAGTATGGTATTGTCAACTGCTGAACATTGGATAAAAAGGAATCTGTTGGCATACTGGTTGAGTTATTTGACTGATGATGATAGGCAGAGTTGCCCATCCTTGTTCTATTCTTTTAGCAAGGTGAGTACCATAGAAATCAGACAATGGAAGTAATCAGTAATGTAACTACTGCCTGGTGAAATATCTAAGGAGGAAGCTTGAAATGGCCTATGTCACACTTGAAGCAGAAGCTGATATTAGGAAATTGCAGAAAGCACATTTGGCTGCATTCTGGTTTGGGCCTTTGCATTTAAACTGCCTTCTTTTGGCAGCTCCAATGCATTTCCAAAGAGCTGCCTGCTCACTTCCTTCCAGCCAGCAAATGCTAGCTGCAAAGCAAATTTTTTTAGACTAAGTGCCCACATCAGCAAAGATTAAATAGCCAAAGGATCCTTTGCTTGTATTGTTATAATTGTGGTTCTTGTTTACCAAATTATCACTCATTCCAAGACCAATGCTATACATTATCAGCTTGGATTACATGTACTGTAGTTTAGAGGTAGTTTTAAACACCTTAGCTTTTTTCCAAAAAGACTTTGTGGTTCAGTATGTTTCTTACCACAATTATCTGAACGGCTCTTCCCCCTATTGTGTCTCTGCTTCCCTCTGCAATCAGAACATCACTTTAGTGGTAACCTACCAACCAGGTTAAGCCTTCATTGCATCTCTAAAACATTTGATTTTTTTTCTAACACTTCTCTTAGCAGGACTTCATTACTTTCTCCAGAGTGCCCGAAGACAACTTTTGCTATTATTTCATTCACATTGTTGATTGTCTCAGTCAAGGTTATCACCACCCACATTCTCAAGATTTGGTCAAGCTTGATTCAGAATTATCAATTATTGTAATCGTCTTGGATTATGATTACTATATTGTTGCATTAACTATTGTCCCGCTTTCTTTTAATTCCATATTTTAATCCCTATGCCATATGATTCTGTATCTCTTGACTGCTAATGTCCACTACAGAAATCATTAACATTTGCCAACCTATCTAAATAAGTCACTTAACTACTTACTGTATACATGATCCTGGGCTACTTAACCGATTTGTTATTGCTAGAGGAGAAAGATTTCTTAGGGCAACAGTGAAGCCATCTAAAAGTGGACATACAACCCACTGGCATCCTTGAATGTCAATTCTAGGGTTGAGGAAATAAAATGTAGCCTTTTTTCCCTTTTGCATTTGGGAAAATCTAGAGGATGTGGAAAGCAGTTCCCCTTTAAGATCCCTCCTGAAATAGTCTTAACCCTTAAGCCAATAGTCTTTTGGAGTGCAGCCTACAAAATGCTATCCAAAATCTGGTGATCCTTCCTAACAACCCAAGTTAGACAACCAGCCCTGTTCTGAGCTTGAAATATAGTCTACAGTTCTGTAGCAATGTGGGATTGTCTGATCCATCAGGCAATCCCACATTGCCTGTTTGTCTGTTTTTTGCTTGTGTTGACAATTTTCTTATGCGTACAATGTGCATTGAAATTTTAAACAGGTAATTGCCCTACCTATGCCGGTCACGACATAATTAGAAAACTCAGCAATTCTGAGTGAATATTTATAGAGGTCTAATAATTGAGAATGCAAGTTCATATCAGTATATTCTCTTAAGAATTGGTATTGCTGATTGTGGAAAAAAAAGGAAATTTTATTTTGTATCTACATCTACAAAACCTACGGATGTTCTTCTTTTTATTGCTTCTTAGCAATGGGGATGCCCAGGAGACTAGCTTCAGGGTAGAGATGATCTACATCACGCCAATAGGGAAGCAATTGAGGAAGGCTTGACAATTTTTTTTCTAGGAGTGTCCAAAGCTGGTTTGCTAGAAAAGTATTTCCTTTTTCTGATAAATGGAGTCCATCTGACAGGTAACAGTTGAAGTCCTAAACCAGAGATTTCACAAAATATAAAATGTTGTAAATTGTTCAGATGACTTTACAGAAAGAAACTTAAGCCAAAAATACAGGCAGTCTTCAACCTACGCCCACAATTGAACCCAAAATTTCTGTTCCTAAGTGAGACATTTGTTAAATGAGTTTGCCCAGTAATGAAATTCATTTTTTTTTACTACCGGTTCTGTGGGCATGGTGTGGCTTGGTGGGCGTAGCTTGGTGGATATGGCAGGGGAAGGATACTGCAAAATCTCCATTCCCACCCCACTCTAGAGAAAGGATACTGCAAAATCTCCATTCCCATCCCACTCCTGGGGCCAGCCTGAGGTGGTATTTGCTGGTTCTCTGAACTACTCAAAATTTCCACTACCAGTTCTCCAGAACCTGTCAGAACCTGCTGGATTTCACCCCTGAGTTTGCTCCATTTTACAACCTTTCTTGCCACAGTTTTTAAGTAAATCATTGCAGTTGTTAAGTTAGTAACACGGTTGTTAAGTGAATCTGGTTTCACCATTGACTTGACTTGTCAGAAGGTTGCAAAAGCTGATCACAAGACCCCGGGACACTGCAACTGTCATAAATATGAGTTGCTAAGCATTTGAATTTTGATCACATGACCATGGAGATGCTGCCATGGCCATCAGGGTGAAAAATGGTTGTAAATCACTCTTTTCATGCCATTGTAATTTTGAACAGTCACTAAATGAACTGTTGTAAGCCGAGGACTACCTGTGTTAATCATTGCTCAACTAATCCGCCAGTCTGCAAAATAGAACATGATGAGCTTCTAAGGGAGACTTTGCACCCAGTAAGGAAATTAGCTTCACTTTGCTGCGTACACTGCTATGACAATCTCAGAAATCACACCTGGTCTCCTTTTTGCATAAGTGTCCACAGGTCGATGACATCAGCGCCACATTCTTCAGCTACTTTAACACAAGCCTTTGCATATTCCCCAGTGACAGAATTTAGCCGATTTAATTTTTCACCTGTTGAGAATTAGGGGGAAAAAATACATCAAACTTAAAAACTGAGTTCAGGTTTTGCTTTTTGAGTAACAAACATGAATCACAAATGGATCCAGATGATGAAACTCATCACCCTTAGGCTTTAATGGTGTACAGAATGTCCTCATTAAAGGACCCCAACTGTAATGGGCAACTTGGTTGTCAAGCTAAGCAGTTGCTAAATGGAACTACGAAGATACTTCAGCATTCCTTTGCTTTATAGATCTGTGAAGGTCATAAATGTGGGGATTGTTCATAAATCACTGTCACAACTGAAAACAATTGCTATGCGAGACAATCGCTAATCAAGGAGGCTCTGTAGCTATCTAAGAGGGTGAACGTGGACAAACAGAAGAACAATATAATTTCTTCATGGAGGAACTCATACGGCTCCGGCTCCAGTCCCATCCAGATGTTGACATGGGCAATTTTTGGAATTTAAGCTTGGTTTAATTTAGATCCAGAGTTAATTTTTGCTATTCTCATTACATCCAACCTATTGATCCGTTGGAACAAAAGCATGTAAAAATCAGAATTGTCCTTTCCAAAACCCTAATAAAATGGAATTAAATTTAGTGTTAGGAGAAATGTCACAGAAGAAAGATCAAAGGTAAAAATGGGTTGGTTCCAACTAGCGGCTGCAGAAAACAAAAACTGAAAAAATTCCCCCAAATGCATCTTTCCAGGAGAGGCAGCTGGATAATGAATTGGAAAACTGTGATTGGGCCAGCCTAGACTCACCTCCATTCTACTACGATCATGTGTCTTAGTGCAGTGCAGTACTCAGCCCGCCCTCTACTTCCCACTGCACACATACACAAAGAGGTGTAACATGAGGACAGAGTTGAAGTATACCTATACAGAAGAAACTCATTATTACAGAGGAGGAAACGAACATGGTCTCTGGCCATTGCTGGTAAAGAGACTGAAATGCATTCTGGAATCCATGCTCTGTGCATTCTTCCTTGCTCGCTTGCTGTATTTTGAATTTTTGCATATGAATTCATAATGGAAGGGATGTTGAGTGTGCCACATATGAATGAAAAACCAAGTTCTGTAATACCAGGACTCCTGTCTTGACTGGATTCTGTGGTGACATTACAATCCAGGAACATCCACATGTTTTGCTAACCAAATTAGATCTGATACCCATTTTTCTTTTTCCTAGCAAGAGCTATAGAACAGACAAGACTGAATGTAAATATATGTATAGTGTAGAACCAGTGTGGGGTACAGAGAATCCTTTTGCTGACCACAATATCACATGCAGTAAAGGTTAGAAGCTAATTTTGCCCTCATAGCTTCACTGCAGATTATTTTGAGCTGCTGCGTTTTGTTTTTGCTTTTTTTTAAAAAGCTATTTCCATACAGTTGTATACTTTGATTCTAATTTTAAGATGGGAATAAATAAAACATGCCAACGGTCATTTTATTTTGCAAAAAAAAAAAAAGACGCTAACAGGACAAATTTGGCAGAACTAATGGAAAAAGGCTAGGCCAAACATTCCTGGTATAACTTAACTAGAACATGGAATAAATCATGCAGGGAAGTTTGCTAATTCTATTCAAAAAGGAATTTTAAAAATCCTCACCTTTAGCCACACACTCTTTTTCCCAACTAGCTTCATGAAGGGGTGGTGGAGTCACTAATATAATGTCCTGTTTGGAAATGTCCACAGAGTTGAGGTAGCATATCATACTTTTCAAATTGTCAGCATATTCCTTCAGTGGAATGTGCTGTCTGGGGTTCTCATCTGTTTAACAAGATACAGGAGTTAAACTTTCTGGCAGTTGTTGTGCTCTGTTCATGTTCTGTTTCTTACACAGCTCTTCTCAAACTGGGAAAAGGTAGGACAGTTAAGTAAAATTGGGAGGCAGAAAGCAAAAAGCCCTCATTCTAAATACATTTTCACAAAGCAAAGGAAGTGCTAACTTGGCTACAAAATCAATTAGACACAAGGAACACTTAGAAAGACAGTAGGGTTCCTGTTTCCTTGAAAGATGCTCACCCCTCCCAGCATGGACTTTTTGAAGGAAAATACAGTCAGCTGCTGGCTCAGCCATACAGCCCTGGAGACCAAGAATGCTGATTCAGCAGCCTGGGAAGCAATGAAACAGCATCTCAGTAACACACATTCTAAGAGCCTTTGTTGAAATTCAAGCAAGCCATTGTATCCCCCCCACATTACCTCAACAGTCTGACGCACTAACATGTGTTTTGCCATAACCCAAGAAAGTGGCTGGCGTGTCTGCTGATTAAACATATCTGGACCAGTGTGTGAAGGCTTTAAAATATTTGAAGTAACATACTTTTCAATCCCAGCCTAACAAAACATTAAATTAGAAGAGTAGGATGAAGAATCCAAATTTTCTGTACCTTTCAAAGCGCTGTCATTTGCCCCGAAGAAGACAGTTACCGCCAAGATGTTTCCAGCATTATGGTCTTTGTTGATTAATCGTGGAAGAACAATTTTAGCCCACCTGGTGTTGTAGCCAGAGAGTCCACGATTCAAGACATCGCATTTTCTAAAATGAGTATACACATAAAATTGAGTGTCTCTCTGTGTATCTCATTATGTAGTCAATCTATATCTTGAAATGGTAAAGATTGGTCAGGGAATTATTCAGTGTTGTATTCCACATAGGATATTCATAATTTTAGTCCCAAAGAATTCACAATTCATACATACTACCAGTCAAATTGGTTCAGCATTTAGCATGAATCCAACTTTCTCTTCCTCTCCTCTCCATAATGTACTATATTCCACGTTGAAAAGAAGCTTTTTGTATCTTTCATCATTTCTACCCAGAATTCTTACACATTTTCTTATTGTCAAACCTTATTTACAATGCAGAACAAATCATGAGGTTTATGTTTTCAATCCATTTCCAATGTATTTCCAGGCATTACGCATCATTATAGATTTGAAGAGCCTGAACTACTACAGAGGTCAAGTAGAGGTTTTAGAAATTGTTTAAAAATTGGTGGGAGAATTGTAGACTATAAGGAAGATAACCTTGAGGAAGATAGGCAGGAACTGTTGCCGAAGCAAAAGTGGAAGGAACACTGTTTAAGTTCAGAGGAACGAGATCCCATTCAGAAGTGGCTTAAACAGACCCCCTCCCTAATTCACTGAACCAAGAAGATAGGGAAGATATAGTGCAGCCACACTTGCACAATTCTGTTATTCTAGCAATCTCAATAAAAGTGGGTTTTGCCCTGCCATGCAGTTGATTTCATGGTCTGGTCTACCTGGTGGGGCTGGCAATGCAATAACAACAAAGTGGGATGCCAAAAGAGCCACCAAACACAGTTAGATTAATAACAGTAAAAATAAAAAAAAAATAAAAAAAGGAAGGAGTCTCCCATTTACATTAAGAGAAATTTTAATTTCACTGGTTCCATAGTGATCTCTTGTGATTTCCTATGTGTCAGATGAGAACATCATCAAGAATGCAGCCTGGAGAGATGTATCATTTGAATATTCTGACGGTGTGTTTCCTCTCAATGTGACAAAAGAACTGACAAGATGAGAGGTAAAACAAAATAAATAAAATGCTAGTATTTCTTACCTAGCTAATCTATTAGCAAGTGATGCGCCCCATCCCTTATCTTGGAAGGAAAACTAGAAGAAAGACAATTAACAATTTATGTAAATGCAGAGATCCCAATAAATGTACTCATTCTTACAGTTCAGCCTAGTGTCTCCAACATTATTGTATATTTTAAGCATCATACACAGTGACTCACTGCAATCAAGTACAGTACCAAATTTAGGGCTACCAGTTCTGAGTTGCAAAGTCCCAAGTAGATGGCAGTAAAGAAGCACAGATAATTCTCTGTCAGCATTTGACAGCCCCATATCTGGTAGCACTTGCGTAATTTCTCCGTTAGTAAAAGCCAATGCACATCAGACAACTTTATGAATTATTTACTTTGAAGAGTGACAAAATACCTGCAAGGCAGAACAGGGCATTTCCCAATCCAGAATCTAGGACTACAAAGCCCCATGTCTACTCAGAGAACTGCTTCCTCTGTTCACAGGAACACTGGAAGTGATCACCATCATCCTCCATTTGAGCAGGAAGTTTGGCTCCTTTCTTTTCCAAAGTACACATGTAAGAAATGTTGTGGGGGGGGACGTGGAATTTGGCCCTTGGATCAATTCTTCAACTTTACCTTGAGATGGATGTCATTTGAAACACTGTTGGGTGTGCAAGTACATAATAATGTAGCCTTGTACTGTACAAGTAATCCTGTACTTAGGACTGTTCATTTAAGGACAGTTTAAAATTATAACAATCTTGGAAAAATTCAGTGATGAGGTGGATGTGATGTGCCGGTGCCTGGAGGCTGTGAGGGTCTGGATGGGAGTCAATAGGCTCCCATCCAGGCTTAACCCAGACAAGACTGAGTGGCTGTGGGTATTGCCTCCTAAAGACTATGTTGATTGTCCATCCTTGGTTCTGGGGGGGGGGGGGGGGGGGGGGGGGAAATTGTCCTCCTCAGAACGGGCTCGCAATTTGGGTGTCTTCCTAGACTCACAGCTAAGACTAGAGCAACATCTGATAGCTGTGGCTAGGGGGACCTTTGCACAGGTTCGCCTTGTGCACCAATTGTGACCCTACTTGGATCAGGAGGCTCTCCTCACAGTCACTCATGCCCTTATCACCTCACGGTTAGATTATTGCAATGCGCTCTACATGGGGCTACCCTTGAAAAGTGTTTGGAGACTACAGTTGGTCCAGAACGCAGCCGTGCAAGCTGTTGTGGGGGCACCTAGGTACACCCACATTACACCAATTCTCCGCGAGCTGCACTGGCTCCCTATTGGTCTCCAGTCACAATTCAAGGTGTTGGTTATTACCTTTAAAGCCCTACATGGCTTAGGGCCAGGTTATCTTCGAGACCGCCTTCTGCCGCATAGCTCCGAGCGACCGGTAAGATCCCACAGAGTTGGTCTCCTCCGGGTCCCGTCAGCTAAACAATGCCGGCTGGCAGGCCCGCGGGGGAGGCCCTTCTCTGTGGCTGCCTCAGCTCTCTGGAACCAGTTACCTTCTGAGGTCCGGACCATCCCCACCCTATTGGCCTTCCGGAAAGTGGTGAAGACCTGGCTTTTCCGGCAGGCCTGGGGCGTTGATCTCGCTCTTGTGATCTGGCGAGATCCGGTCATGAATGGCGTGAATGAGTTTTTAATGTGTTTAATTTTTTAAAATGTATTGTGAGCCGCCCTGAGTCTTCGGAGAGGGGCAGCATATAAATTGAATTAATTAAATTAAATTAAATTAAAAGTGATTTATAACCTGTCCTCGCACTGATGACCATTGCATCACTCCTACAGTCATATGATTGCAATCTTCCCAGCCTGTTTCCTACAAAAAACAGCAATTGGGAAGATAGATTTGCTTAATGGTCATGTTTTATTTAACAACTGCAGTGATTTGTGCTAAAAATGGCTGTAAAATCAGGTCCAGTTACATGATGACTCACTTTATGACCACACTGATGATGAAATTTTGATCCCAGTTGTGGTTGTAATCAAGGACTACCTGTATAAAACATATAGTTTATTGTATCTGATCAAGAGTTGGTTGGGAATCCTTCTGTACGAGGTGTTTTTATTTAGACCACTGGAAATAACATGTAGCCAAAATAAAGAGGTTAAAAATATCAGTGTATATCAGGGTGGATAAAAATCAATGATTTTTTTTAAAAAAATCAAAAAAATCAGATTTTTTTTATTTAAATCGGATTTTTTTTAATTTAAATCGGATTTTTTTGATTTTATCGAATTTATTTTAATAAAAAACTTTTGGGGTAAAAATCTATCGTAAGATAGTTTTCTATTTAAGATACATAAATAATTTAGTTTATTCAGCATGAAATGGAGCTTAGTTATGAAGCATGAGGCTGTATATTCTGCAACACTGGGACTATTGGTGAGTCAACAGTGGGTCAAAGGAGTAGCAGAGTTGACAGTTGCTCTTTAAAAATTATGATTTAAATCGAGTTGATTTAAATCAAGCCTTTTTACTAGTGATTTAAATCATGATTTAAATTGTGATTTAAATCAACTAGATTTAAATCAAATCCACCCTGGTGTATATTAAGTCCCAAAGGTGCTTTTTCAAGAAGTAACCAGACTTTTCTTTGAAGATGTTTCACTTCTCAGAGCTGAAGAAGCTTCTTAAATAAGAAGCGAAATGTCTTCCAAAAAAAAAAAACAACCACCCACACAAGGAAGTTCAGTTGCCTCTTGAAAAAGCACCTTTGACCTGGATGACTAGAAACCTCCATAGGGCATATTAAGGTTTTCTGCAATCTGATTATACCTACAAATATTCTGACTGAATGAAAAAGCAATGTGTAAATAAAGTCATTTAAGTATGGCTATATCAAAGGTGCTATTGTCATGGACTATTATGAAATAGGGATGGATAGGCTCTTAGATCATTATGAGCAACTTCTGTTTAAGGGCAAAACAGACCTGAGTTGAAAGTCCCAGCTGAAGAATCCTGAAGGAAGAGATATTCCTTTACCTGTTCCCACATTCTAAGGACTATTTTAAAATGGATTAAAAAATAATAATCCAGTCTTGACATTTCAGATTAAGCATGACAATCTTGAGAGGCAGGCCAGGTTAGAGGTCATTTTTTACTTTCCCAACTATTTCAGCAAAATTAGTGACACTCCTGGCTGTATTTTCAATTACAGTCATTGTATTTTCAATTACTGGAGTGTATGCTGTCCGGTTGATGAGTGGGGCTTGCTACAGAGGGGAAGCCCATTTCCAAACTTCTCCTATCAACTTAAATTTTAAGTCAGATGTAATCACCTCCTCTTTCCCCGTATTTTTAGTTTGGCTCTAAGCCTGGCAACCAGCTGTGATCGCATTAGACTAGCACAGAGGTCTTCAAACTTGGCAGCTTTAAGACTTGTGGACTTCAACTCCCAGAATTCTCCAGCTAGCTATGCTGGAGTTGAAGTCTGGGAGTTGAAGTCCACAAGTCCTAAAGCTGCCAAGTTTGAAGACCTCTGATAGCAACCCCAATTGGCAGCCACGCTCCCCTCCCAACTCCAAAGCTACTCCTTAAAAGCTGCGCAGAAAAGCCAATTCACGTTACGCAAAGGAAGTCGTCTTTCCCCTCCCCCCCCCCGAGCCTCTTTGGGCAGCTCAAAAGAAAACTCCACCTGGTGAATTTCTACCTAAGAAGAGGGGGGGGGAATCTGAAGTAGAATTTTTTTCTAAGAGAAAAATTTTTAGGTAGAAAAAATTTCTAAGCATTTCTACTTAAGAAGAGACTTGTCTTCAGCCACGTGTCTGAAATGGCCAGGGTTTCCTGCTTGAACAGGGGGAGAGGGTTGGACTAGAAGACCTCCAAGGTCCCTTTCAGCTCTATTCTGAATTGAATACCTCTTCAATTCTTCAATACCTCGAGGCTGCAGGTGATTGGGAGGCGACCACTGGCTTGCGGGGGGGGCGATTGAAGTAAGTAAGTAAGACGAAAAAGGAGAACAAGTAGAATAAAAGCAAGACGTGTGAAAATCAATCGGAGGCGGGGAAGGGGAGGGAGAAGGGACACAGGGCCTTTGCGTCTGTTTTGGGGCCATGTTGTCCCACTCACCACCAACATCACCACCACCCTGAAGTACCTCAGTAATGGAGTCTCCGAAAAGCACGATCCGAGGCAGCAGAAGGAACCCCCGGGCAGCCGCCGTTTCCGACAAAGCCATGCTTTCGGTTTTGCAGAAGCGGTTGCAGGCAGAACGGCTCCACCGGGCGTGTGTGTGTTTGTGTGTTTATGTGTGCGCTGTGTGAGTGTGCAAAGGGGGCGGGGCAGCTGTGCCTGCCTATGTGCTTGAAACCAAAAAAACGCGTATCTTGCAGCGTTGAAACGCTTAGGGGACCCTGAACTGGAGAGTCTTTGGGCTTCTCCTCCGGCTCATTTGACCTCAGAGGCGGAGAGCGATGGAAGAAAATCAAAAATAGACTCGATCTTCAAAGACCGATCGGAGAGGCCCGATCTCTTTTAGGGATCCGTTTTGCACAATAGCCAGACCTTTTTTCCCCCTTCTTTGGAGTGGGCAGCCTTGCCCTTTGCAGACTTGGGAGTTCCCAACAGATCAAGAGAATGGATCTTCCTTGAGCCCTTTCTTCCTTTCTGGATCCCCAAACTGCCTGATTCAGACAATTAAAGCTCCTTTTGCAAGTAATGTGAATGATGTAGGAATAGTGCAGGGTCAGCTATATGAACACTGAAGGACCCTCTTTATTCACATTATTATAAGAAAGAAATGTGCTTGTTTAGAGATTACACTAAGTCAGCTAAATTCCATTCTTGGTAATATATATCTTCTGAGGAGCCTAGCTGTCAAGGATGCAAGGACATCCATATGAAACAAAAAAGTTACTTATTATTCAAAACAGCCATGAATCTATGTCTCAGCAATCACAGAACTGAGGAAGGTTGTTTAGCTAAGATAATCTTATGAACTAGAAAATAATGAAGGAATTTAGTAATTAGAAAGTGTCAATTATAATGTAACAAATGTATGTTAACCATATATGGAAAACTGCTCACAAAATCCTTTGTCTCGGATAGGTATAAAAGCAGTTGTATTGGAGCTCTTCTTGGTTCAGAATTGCAGATACAAATCTGATTCTGAAACAGCGCAATAAACTGTCTCTGGCTGACCAGGAATGTTGTTTGGTCCCATCATTCCATAACACAAGGAGGCAAGAGAGGCCGGTGAAAAATCACAAACTTCATTTTTGCTAACTAGAGCATGAGACATCAAAAGGAACTGAAGCAGCCCAATCGTCAGAAGTAGCCCAATCGTTAGGTTTAATCAGGGGTGAAATCCAGCAGGTTCTGACAGGTTCTGGAGAACCTGTAGCGGAAATTTTGAGTAGTTTGAAGAACCGGCAAATACCACCTCTGGTTGGCCCCAGAGTGGGGTGGGAATGAAGATTTTGCAATATACTTTCCCCAGGAGTGGGGAGGGAATGGGGATTTTGCAGTAACCTTCCTCGAGTGGGGTGGGAATGGAGATTTTGCAAGATCCTTCCCCAGGAGTTGGGAGGGAATGGCGATTTTGTAGTAACCTTCCCCTGCCACGCCCACCAAGCCACAGCCACGGAACTGGTAGTAAAAAAATTTGGATTTCACCACTGGGTTTAACATAACACTCAAGTTTTATGTGGAAGAAAGTCGGTGGAGATTCTCAGTCATCCAGGTCATAGTTGTCTCAAAGTTGCTTTTTTCTTCAAAAGGCAACTGGACTGTTTTTCCCTGAGGAAGAAGAAGAAAATGTTTAACTTCTCATCCAAGAAGCTTCATTAGTTATGATGGTGGGAGGGATAGAAGGACAGGTTCTGATGGGATGGTGGAAAGGGGGATGGAAGGATTGTGTTTACGTTAGTGGCGAATATCTGTAGCTTGGGTGTAGGGTGAGGGTGGAGGTTGATTCTCCAAGCTTGTGGGTTGGTTTCCAGACCTTTCCTTAGTAGGCTAATGTTGGATGAAAATTCATCTGATTCAGTTCCAGGCCAGGGGAATGGTGTTGGAAACAAAATGGAGGCTGATTGGAAATAAAGTTTATTGATGAACAGAACCCACAATGTGCTGTTCTGGGACAGCTGACAAAATGGAGTTGAGAGTAGGGTGGGTTTTTATACCTTTTTGATTTCTATGGGATCATGTAGGGGTCATGGCTGGCTCTATAGGCAAAAGGGGAAATGCAAATCCTAGGTGTTTGTCTAAGCTAATCTTGTCTTGCCTAATTGCTTATCTGGAGTTTCTGTCTGACCCAGTCTGAATGGATTACCAAATCTACTAAAAGCGGGCCTCAGTTTCTGCTTGGGGCAGGAAGACTGGTACTGATTTTTACCTACTGATTTTTTCCCATTTTTCCTTTAGCGGAAATATTCTATCCTGCTATTTTAATATTCTCCAAAATATTTCATTCTCTAGGAGGGTGAGTGGGTGCTGACTTTCTATACTAACTAATATCTTCAGCGGAATTTAGGGAATGTCAGAGTTGGCGTTCTGTTTATATGGGCTTCTGTGGTCAGTAGGTCTTGTGATGAGAGGGTCACACCAAGTGAGGGTCTTGTGAGGGGGTCAGGTGTGGGTCAGGATTGTATTTATTTGCAGTCATTGGTAGTTAACACTCTGAGAGCTGATGAGGCCACTTGGGGGTTTAACTGCTTTATCTGTTTATCTGGCTTTGATGTCCTATGTCATCAAACGCTGTGAAGTGGTTGTTTTGTTTCACCAATGTACAGCTCTGCACATGTCTCACTGGATTGTATTGCATGTATCATCAGTTTGTGTCTGGGTATTTTATCCTTGGGGTGGACAAGCTTCTGCCTTAGTGCATTCTTGAATTAAAAGTGTACATGTATGTTTGTGTCGATTGAAAATTTTCCTGAGGTTTTCAGATATTCCTACAACATGTGGAATGACAATGTTGCTACATTTGTTGTTCTCTTTTTTGTCTGTAATGGAAGAGCTTCTGCTATGTCTTTTTTTTATTCTTTAATGGATAATAACAACTTCTGAGGGATTCCTTGACATGTTTTAGTTCTTTTTCTTTTCCTTCTTTAGTGGTAGGCAAATTTTCAACCCAGTCGTGTAGGGTTCTAATCACTCCCATTTTGTGCTCCAGTGGGTGGTGAGAATCAAAATGTAAATACTGATGGGTGTGCAGTCTTCTGTAAGTTTCAATGTCAAAATTTCTGTCTTCCTTAATGTGCACTGTACAGTCCAGGAAAGCCAGATTGTTTCCCTTAGCAATCTATCCCATGTGAATGTAATGTATCTGTCCATAGAGTTGATGAAGGCGAGAGGCTCCCCATCTCATCCAAACCACTCTAAGTAGCTGATCCAGCGACCACCTGGAGATGCCAGACTGTTCCTTCCTTAGCTCCCCACCATCACTGCTCACCCTGCTCTCCCAATTCACCTGTATAGCACCCGGCCTAGCCAGCCCATTCTATCCATGCCAGCCATCTCTCTCCTCACACACACACACACACACACACACACACACACACACACACACACGCACCTTGCCACCGTGAAGCCCCAGTTCTGCGGGCGAAAAGGTGAAGGGAGCAAATGTGCCACTCAGGAGCCAAGCAGAAGATGCCTCTTTTCAGGGCAAAGCTGGAACCCTTGATGGCCTCTTCCAGCTTTGCACTTTTGCTCAGACTAGGGCAGTGATGGCTAACCTTTTTGACGTCACGTGCCAAAAGTGGGGCTCATGTGGGGGGATTTTGCACACGTGTGCCCATATCCATAATTCAATGCGCCCCACCCTCGCGCATGCATGTGTGACCCCCCCGCACTACCCCCGCTTTTGGCATATGATGGCACAGTGGGCCTAGTAGGCCCGTTTTTCACCACCACCCCCGCGGGAGGCCCTCCGGAGGCCGGAAACAGCCCATTTCCCGACTTCAGGTGGACCCGGAGTAGGGCAACACTCTCGTGCCCACAGATATGGCTCCGTGTGCCACCTGTGGCACCCGTGCCATAGGTTCGCCATCACGGGACTAGGGAAATGAGCCTGCAGGACTCTTTCCATTATTTTGAAAAATTCCTTTTGTTCAGGCTATCATTGATTATCCAGACTTCCCTAGTTTGGTATAGGTTGGGTACCATTTTTATTGTGCAGTCTCACCACAATGAACATGCATTTAGATGCTGTCCTGGATTAGAAACTAGCTAATGAACCACAAGTCTAAATTACTGCATAAGCCCATGCTGTGTAATTTAAGATTCAGTATTTTGTATGAATTAAATAATGGCATCATCATGACTCAGTTTATCATATGAATACAACTAGTAACAGCTAGTAATATGGGCACCAAAGTGTTTTCATGAAATACATACAGTATGTCACTGAAATGAGTACACCCCCTCACATTTTGTAAATATTTAAGTATATCTTTTCATGTGACAACACTGAAGAAATGACACCTGGTTACAATGTAAAATAGTGAGTATACAGCTTGTATAACAGTGTAAATGTGCTGTCCCCTCAAAATAACGCAACACACAGCCAATAATATCTAAACTGTTGGCAACAAAAGTGAGTGCACCCCTAAATTATAATGTCCAAATGAGGCCCAAAGGCCACCGAGGTAGCATCCATGAGTGCCACGAGGCACCATGCCTAGGTGGATGTTGTCAATGTTACCAGGGGCATGGGCGCCTTCCTTGGCACACGGAGCCCAGGCAGCATATGCCCTCCTATCCCTGTGTTCGTCTTTGGCTCGTGCCCTCTCACCGGCTGACGGGGAAGTTGGGGGGAAAGGGGGGGAAGGGCACGGAATTTTTGACAGTCGTTTGCTGGTGATGGGAGAAAATTATTCTCACCTCAGAGAAGGGAGGAACTGAAAGTCCTGGGGAAGAAAAGGAGGCAGGGCACATTCACCAGGCTAGTTTTGTTGCTTCTGGGTGGTTCCTCTAAAAGCGAAGAAAATTGCAAGTAGGGACGCCAATCAAGAAGCAATATGGAAATACCTTACATAACAGTTTTATTGTTTTCTGTCGGGTATTATTTAATTTTTTTTCATTAATATTTTAAAACTCTTTCGTATAACATAATCTAGTTTTGTGTACCTCTTTTATTGTTCTTATTTAAGTATTAAATGCATGAAATAATAAACTACCTTTTGGTATATCGTTTTTTTATACTTAAAACAATCATTAGGGCAGAGAACCGGTTTTTAAATTATTTGATTATTTGAAATTATCCCACTACTGAGCAAACTCCACTCCCTTCTACCAAGGAAGAAGTTACCTAGTGGAGTAAGGAACCGTCTCTAACCAAGTTCAAAGAGTACCAAGAACTCCACTACTCAACTTTGAGCTATATATATTGTCATCTATTACCATCATGGCCAGGTATGACCAGTTGATAAGTAGCAGACTTAATATTCAGAGTAACTGTTCCCCAGCTATTCAAGGTCAACAGGAAAAATAAGCAAAAAAACAAAATCAAACCAAAAAGCAGGGCGCAGGCTTACAATATACTATAATGAGATAAAAAAAGAATGGAGTAGAAAGGGAAAAAGAAAGGAAAAGCTAACATATGGGGCTTCAAGTGATATAAGCTATTTATTTACCTATTTACTTATTTAACAATAAATATATAGCTGTCTGTCTCACCCAAAGTGATGCACAAAAGATTAAAAAAAAAGAATATAAAAATAGCAAATAAAAGACCTTAATTATAAATAACCTAAAAAACTGGCAACCACGTAATTGAAGAAATAAAAATTCCCCCTCTCCCCATAAAGAGGCCATCTAGATAGGTCTGGGTTCCAAAGAAACCCTAGTATCAGGCCAAAGCCCAGAAAAGACACAGGGAAATCCAATTAAATTCAATCTTTTATTATCTTTTATTATATATTTTTCTGTGAAAACTCTGTGCTGCCCAAACTCTCCCCTACTGCTCCTTCAGGTGTACATGCCATCAGACTCAGTCCTGGTCACCTAACCTGTCCTTAAGGCTTTTTCAAAAATCAAAAGGGATGGGGCTGAATTAACCTTGGGAAGAATATTCTGTACTGACAATCACAATTGAGAAGGTACATGTCTTAGATCCACCAAATATAGATTCGTAGCCTTCCTAAAGTTCTGTCAAGAGAAACAGGCAAGTACAGTGCGGTGGAGCAAGAGCCATACTGTAATTTACTCTGTCAAACACAGCTATCTCTCCAATTCTGCTCACTCTGCACCTCTTTTTCAGCCTAAATTCTGCATATTTCTCCAGAGATCTCCCTGCTTTTGTCAGTGGCACTCATTTTTCCTATGGTATTTTTCCTGTTAGCTCATCCTCTGTTTCCACCTAACGGATTAAAAGGATTTTGTACTTACATTTCTCCCAATATGGGAAAATAGATAAAACTCTTAAGTAGCATTCATTCAGTCAATCAGATGGCTTTGCTTTTCCTTTATGAGGTCATCCTTCATAATAGGGCTGAGAGGTAGATGAGCTCACAAAGGAGAGGTAAATAAAACTTTTTGATGGGCTGAATAAAAGCCATTCACTCAGAGTTTTTTCTCTGTGTGCTGAGTGTACTCCATACTCATTGAGAACTAGCAGTTTAGATTTGGTTTTGTTTTTTTAACTGCATTTATTAGCTTCAGTTTAGTTTACAATATTTATTTGTTTGCTTAGTTGCTAATTTATCTTATTTAATATCACACTTGTCTACTTAGTGCAGTTTAGTTTACGCACACTATTTGTTTATTTTATCATATTTAATAGATTTGTTCAGTTTAGTTTAGGAATTGAATTCGTTATGGAGACATTCCTATATTATGCTGCGAAAGCTCTTTTTGAGGTAAGAGATTCTCTGTTTTATTTATTTATTTACTTGTCAACTTTCATGTCTGACTCTAGGATTTAGGATTCATAGAGGTAACTTGGCAGGTAGCATCAAATGAATAATAATAATAATGAAATCAAAGAGGAATCAAAGGAATCTAGGAACAGGCAAAAATTGTTTTAGAATAATTTTTAGAATAATTTTTGTACCTGAATATTTTAAAAATATTTGTTACTGCTTCTTTCAGGCCTTTCCTTGGTGAAGTGTGTTAATATCTTCAATTGAAACACATCCACAGGACAGCCTTCCAGAAAGTCTGGGAAACATGACTCTGCGGCCTTGCTTGGGGTACATAGAAAAACATACAGTGGTGGGGCCCTCAAATTAGAGCCCTCAAATCCCTCTTCCTAATTAATTTTTAACATTGCTTGCCTCTATTAAATTTTATACGTGGGGCTTATTTTTTTAATATTTGTAGAGCTCCTATAGTCTCTCTGGGAGAGAGATGGGCAGTTCTTAAATATGATAAGTAAACAAATAAAAAGGGTGTGTTCTATTCTCATGATACGCTAAACTGCATTGGCCATTAGTTGTGGTTAAGGGTCATAGGGATGAAATACCCTGCAGACAGCAGTTAGTGAACATTGTTGCTTCACTAGCCCATGTCTTGTTTAGCACTGGAGAAGGTTCAGTGCATTCATTCTTCACCCCTTTTTCAATTCACCAGGTGGATGGCCCAAAGTAGTAGGGGAGGGGCGAGAACCCCCCCTTCCTACTGTTTTTGGCTGTGACAGGTAGTTACAGCCTCCAACATATACCTGCTCCCATGACAAACAACCCATTTGTTTACATCAGGGGTGTCAAACTCAAGGCCTGTGGGCCGAATCTGGCCCATGGGGTGCTTAAATCCGGCCCATAAGGCCGGCCTGGAAATATCAAAGGACCGGCCCACAGTGCCTCTACTGGCCAAAATGGGTTGCGTGCAGCCTTCCGCAGACCGTTTTGGCCATTAAAGTGCTGCAGGAGACGTCTCCCCCCCATAATCCCCCCCCCCCGGGATGGCTCATGGAGGAGAACTACAATGCTGATCCGGCCCTCAAAGAAATCCAGTTTGACAACCCTGGTTTACATCAGCTTTGTGCAAAAAAAGATATAGTTCCCTCTGCACAAATAAAACTATGATTATTTCTAGGCAGAAATATTTCCAGAAATTTAATTAATAACTAATTAATTAATTTTTTAACATTGCTTGCCTCTGTTAAATTTTATACGTGGGGCTTTTGTTTTTAAGATATAATCCTTACAATCCTGTTTAAAGCTTCTCTTTTTGCCTGTTTATTTGTATTCTATGAGTTGCCAAGGGCGAATAGGCGGCAGTATAAATCAAATAAATAAATATTTCATTTGTAGAGCTCTATAGTCTCTCTGGGAGGGAGATGGGCAGTTGAAACAACCCATTTGTGCACAAAGAGATAAGAGTTCCCTCTTCACAAACAAAACTATGATCATTTCTAAGCAGCAATATTTCCAGAAATTTATGTCTATTAAGAATTCAAATCAAATTTTAATATAGTTCTTCCATATTCCAGTTTCGAGATAAAATAGTTTCTTAGAAGGAAAGATCAAGATTGTTTTTTAAAAAAAACAACAAAAAAACATTAGAGCTAGAGGATTAAATTTTTATTCCTGACAGATTTTACATATAGAGCAAAATAATTATTCTCAACAGCTTCATTTGTAATCAGTCTGTTTAAGGATTGCTGCTAAAAATCTTAATTCACCATACTTTGTCCCACCTAACAAATATCAACATTTTGGGTTGAGAAGGCATACAGTATGTACATTATTTTGAAAACTAGGATAACTAAATTTCCCTCCTCCAGTTGGTTTGCCTTCAATGTTCAAGATGTCTTCTTCTTCTTTTTTTTTTTTGCAGTATTGTCTCCAGAAATACAAAAAACGTCAAAGAGACAAAGGTGAGCAACCAAACATATTGTCTGTGTGGTACGTGTAGCAGGAGTAGGGATAGAAGGGAAGCCCTTCCTTTGCACCCTGGAGGGAAAAAACCTTCCTTCAGAACTATCGTCTTTGGGAGAGACTCTGACCTCCCTTTAAGCCAAAGGGAAACAGATAGAAAAAGATCTGCACTAATAACACACCCTGACATTGCATTTTAAATGGACTGTGCCACTTGTAATGGCCAGGCTTAAATTGCTGTGTTGTTGGTTGTTTAATATGCAACATCTTTCATAAATATTGTGTAATAGCACAAGCAATTTTTTCATTAAAATATAGAACAAGTGGAGACAAAAGAACTGAGAGAAAACACCTGGAGAAGATGGCTAAGAAAAAAGCCGTGATAAGAGAGGTAAGTAATACATTTCCCTTACAATCCTGTTTAAAGCTTCCTTTTCTCTCTGTTTGTATTTGTATTCTATGATTGCTGAATGTTTCTTGTAATTTCTGCATTTTAGCTGGAGGAAGAAAACAACTTTTTAGCAAGTGAAGTCGCAAGCCTCGTGAAAGAAAACAAACTCTTGAAAAAGAAATTTAGAGAAAGTCAAGGCAGTACAAAAGAAGACAAGGAATGTAAGAAACTAAAAGAGGAAATCCAGAGGTTCCCCAAGGAAATAGATGAACTGAAAATCATAAGTATCTTACATGGTAGTAAGAAATTAGAACAACCTCAGTAAGTAAAATTATACAATGTATTCAAAGTTAAATTTTCTAGGCAAAAATATTTCCAGAAATTTAATTAATAACTAATTAATTAATTTTTAACATTGCTTGCCTCTGTTAAATTTTATACGTGGGGCTTTTGTTTTTAATATACAATCCTTACAATCCTGTTTAAAGCTTCTCTTTTTGTCTGTTTATTTGTATTCTATGAGTTGCCAAGGGCGAATAGGCGGCAGTATAAATTAAATAAATAAATAAATAAATATTTCATTTGTAGAGCTCTATAGTCTCTCTGGGAGGGAGATGGGCTGTTGAAACAACCCATTTGCTTACATCATCGTTGTGCACAAAGAGATAAGAGTCTCCTCTGCACAAACAAAACTGATTATTTCTAAGCAGCAATATTTCCAGAAATTTATGTCTATTAAGAATTCAAATCAAATTTTAATATAATTCTTCCATATTCCAGTTTTGAGATAAAATAATTTCTTAGAAGGAAAGCTCAAGATTGTTTTTTTTAAAAAAAAAAACATTAGAGCTAGAGGATTAAATTTTTATTCCTGACAGATTTTTACATATAGAGCAAAATAATTATTTTCAACAGCTTCATTTGTAATCAGCCTATTTAAGGATTGCTGCTAAAAATCTTACTTCACCATACTTTGTCCCAGCTAACAAATATCAACGTTTTGGTTTGAGAAGGCATACAGTATGTACATTATTTTGAAAACTAGGATAACTAAATTTCCCAGCTCCAGTTGGTTTACCTTCAATGTTCAAGATGTCTTTTTTTTTTTTTGCAGTATTGTCCCCAGAAATACAAAAAACATCAAAGAGACAAAGGTGAGCAACCAAACATATTGTCTGTGTGGTATGTGTAGCAGGAGTAGGGATAGAAGGGAAGTCCTTCCTTTGCACTCTGGAGGGAAAAAAACCTTCCTTCAGTACTATCGTCTTTGGGAGAGACTCTGACTTCCCTTTAAGGTAAAGGGAAACAGATGGAAAAAGATCTGCACTAATAACACACCCTGACATTGCATTTTAAATGGACTGTGCCACTTGTAGTGGCCAGGCTTAAATTGCTGTGTTGTTGGTTGCTTAATATGCAACATCTTTCATGAATACAGAACAAGTGGAAACAAAAGAACTGAGAGAAAAACACCAGGAGAAGATGGCTAAGAAAAATGCCGTGATAAGAGAGGTAAGTAATTTTTTAGACAAAAATTTTTTCAGCGAATTTAATGCCACTATTAGGAAATTTATTTGGGGAGGAAAAAAACCAAGAATAGCAATCAGGAGTTTACAAGATAAAAAAAATAGAGGAGGGCTTGGATTACCTATATGGGAAACATATTATAAAGCAGCAATTCTTGTTTGGCTAAAAGAATGGGCGACCCTAGCGAACAAAAGAATCCTAATGCTAGAAGGGCATGATCTCCAGATGGGTTGGCATGCCTATTTATGGGAAACGGGGAAAAAAACCAAAACACATTTCAATAAACATAAATTGAGGGATATATTGAAGTCAACGTGGGAAGAAATAGGATGAAAATATTGCTGTAAAATTCCCTGCTGGCTTTCAACCATGGAGGCGATAATTTACCCAAACGTTGTTGGGTAAATTATCTTGTAATGGCCAGGCTTAAATTGCTATGTTGTTGGTTGCTTAATATGCAACATCTTTCATGAATATTGTGTAATAGCACAAGCAATTTTTCCATTAAAATATAGAACAAGTGGAGACGAAAGAACTGAGAGAAAAACACCAGAAGAAGATGGCTAAGAAAAATGCCGTGAACACATCTCCACCTGCAATCAACACTCAGATGAGCATAGATTAATACTAAGATTAATATCAATCCAGAAGTAAACAATGCTTGATGGCAGCAAGACTACTTCATACACAAAAATGGAAGATCATCTCGATCATTGATAGAGTTAGCAGCGATGGCTAAATTGACTATTTTGATCAAAGAAAAAAGAAATATAAATACTATTACTTCTACTTGGAAACCGCTTCTGCACTTTGTGCTTGAGGTGAGAAAAATTGAACTTTGATTTTTGGTTTTATAGTTTAGATAGATTTGTTGTTATAGAAATGGCTAGTTTATATTATTATGTAAAAGTAAAAAGTTGAGGTTTGATGTTAATGCCTTCTTCTACTGCACCAAAGTAAGTTGGAAGTCAATGCCTTTTTTTTCTTTTTCCCCTTTTCTTTCCCACCCTTTTCCCTTCCCTATTTTCCCTACTATTTATTTTTGTATTTTCATTGTATGCTATATTATAAACTAATAAAAAACTGTTTTTAAAAAAGGAAGTAAACAATGCCCCAATCAAGGAACTGCCAAACAACCTAGCAGTAAACAGCCCAACCAAAGAATCACCAAGATCACTCCCACTAACACTGACAGGGCAGGCCACTAGAATATAAATTGAGAGCAAACCCCACTCCTTACTAGCACTGATGATGTTACCTAGTTTGGGCAACGAAAGTTCTGCAGGAAAACCACCAAGCTCAGAGGGCACCAAGGACCCCTCATTTCAACCCTGAGCTACAAATTTTCTTTTTTATTATTACTGTCCTTTCTGCTCAAGGATGTTTCTAATATAGCGTTCAGTAGCAGTGTAGTTATTTATAAACAAATAGGATTGTGAGAGTACTTAGAACAGGGATGTCAAACTCAAGGCCAGAAAGGCACTTAAGTACCCTGGCCTTGAGTTTGACACCCCTATTCTAAATACTCTAAGTACAGGGGCATCAGCACAGGTGAGGGTCAAAAAAAAGAAAAGGTGACTTCCAGGTGAGGAATGGTGAGCTAACACATCTCTAGATAAACAAAGATGGCATCATCCTTTTTATACATTTGTGCCCCTGCCCCCCCAGATACCACTGCCAGGCCTCTAAATGCCCTTTGGTTATGTCTCCTCCCATGGAAAGAAGCTTCATGGTCAATTTGTTCTTTTGAAATTAAATTACATTGCATTAGGTCTGAACTTTTTACTTCAAATGGTTCCAGTTTCTAATGAGAATGAAGTAATAAGCAGCTGGCCCAGATAAGCAATATATTAGATATATAATGTAATAAAAAATCAAAAGTTAAATTCAATACTTAAGTACCTAAATACTCAAGGTACTTAGATTTGGCCTGTGAGGCCGCCCTGGAAACAGCAAAGGATTGACCCACGGTGCCTCTGACATCGAAAATGGGACTCCCGGGGGCTGCGCGTAACACAAGCTGGCCACGCCCACCCTGGCCACTCTTACCCCAGCCACACCCACCCCAGGCCCCTGAGGTCAAATACAACCCTGGTGCGGCCCTCAATGAAATCGAGTTTGACACCCCTGACTTAGAATGACTACAAGGCCAAACTTCTCATGACACCTCTTTTGAAAACTGGGCTGCCTGTGTGTATTTCGTATTTCCTCAGAAGTACAGGCCAGAGGCAGAAGGTCTGTTCGGGTCATCGTTGTCACAAAGGTGCTTTTTGAAAAGGCAACTGATTGTTTTTCCTTAAGGAAGAAGAAGAAAACATTTTGCTTCTCATTGAAGAAGCTTTATCAGTTGTGATGGTGGTGGGATGGAAGAATAGGTTCTGATGGGTTGGTGGGAGGGTTATGTGCTGTCTTGTAGCAGACGTTTCTTCATTATCACGACAGCTTCAGTTGTTGGAATGCAGATGAAGAGTGAAGTCACATCATAAGAAACCATAGTTTCATCCAGATCCAATTTTGGATTCCAAACGTTGGCAGACAAAGCCCTGTGAATTGTTGATGGTGGTGGTTAGGTGGTGTTGCCAACCAGAAGAGCTAATAGGGTGATTAAATATTTTGCAATGTTATAGGTGACAGAGTTGTTGCTGCTAACAATTGGTCTGAGTGGAGTTCCCTCTTTGTGGATTTTGGGAAGTCCCTATTTGCATGGAATGGCTTTCCCAGGGTAAAGACTTGTCAGTGGCATTGTCCTTCAGTAATTGTTGCAGAAAATTGATGACCTTTTTCTTATAACTGCTGATAGGATCTTTCTTCAGAGTCTCATATGTAGCAGTGTCCTTCAGAAAAGTATCTATCTTGGCATTGTAGTCATCTGTTCAGGATCTGATCTTCCTTTATCAGCTGCCAAGATGGTGATGTTTGGGTCTCTTCCTAGGGAAGTCACTGCTCTCCATTTTTTAATTGTGAGGTTGGAAAGGGGTGTTTTGGCATTGGGGAGGGTTGTCAGATACCGTCATCCATAATTGTTCTGCCCTTGGTTCTGCCAATTTATTGTCCTTCATAGCTGATTCTGTGAGGAGATCTACATTTGGTAGTTGTTCTGGTGTTAACTGCAAAATTCAATCCTTGATAAAACATTATTTTCTGTTTGAGTAAGCTCTCTATCAGACAGATTTTGTCGGTCAGTTCTCTGAGACATGTCACTGTCCTCTCTCATCTGGATTGATTCTTCTGTTTTGTGTGCTTTTTCTTATCTAAACTACAGGGTGGAACATTTGCTTTCTGTCTTTCTTTGCCCTTGTTACATTGTGCTAGAGTTGTGCCTTCTTCCTAAATTCTGTGACCTTCGCCAATACTTCTGTTGAAAGAAGTGATTTCAGCTCTTGAAGTTTGTGTTCCACTCTCTTTCAAAACCTCAATTGTAAAATTAATTTGTCTTATTCTTTCGATGAGAAGTTGGAGCTGTGCTTTCTGTAGGAGGTTTTCTGTCCCATAACCTTTCACTGTTGAACACAGGCACAGGCTGATGGGATTGAGGCTGTTTCGTCTGCATCTCAAATTGAAGCACAAATGGTTCCTGTAGCCTGCAAGTTTTCTGGGAATCTGTTCATACTCCTGCACCATTCGAAGGGCGTTTATCCCAAAGTGTAGGGCTGTGTAGTCTGTGGAGATTCTCGGTCATCCAGATCATAGTTGTCTCAAAGCTGCTTTTTTTTTCTTCAAAAGAGGCAACTGGATTGTTTTTCCTTGAGGAGGAAGAAGAAAATATTTCGCTTCTCATCCAGGAAGCTTCATCAGTTGTGATGGTGGGAGGGAGGAATGGAAGGACAGGTTCTGACAGTTGAGACTGGAGGGGGGGGGGGAGGGAAGGAGAAATACGGACAGTTGGGACGGGGGGGGGGGGGGGGAGGGGGAAATCTTGACGGTGGGAGGGGGGGGGGGGGGGGTGGGAGGATAGGTTCTGACAGGATGGAGGGAGTGGGGGATGGAAGGATTGTATTTCTTTGCAGTCACTGGCTAGCACTGGGGTCATGTGATCACCTATTGTGGCCTGACAAGCAAAGTTAATGGGAAAGCCAGATTCACTTAACAGCTACGTTACAAACTTAACAGCTGCAGTGGTTCACTTAACAACCGTGGCAAGAAATGTTGTAAAATGAGGCAAAACTCAGTAACTGTCACACTTAGTAATATAAATCTTGGTCTCAATTGTCATAAATTGAGGACTACCTGTACAACGGGTCCTATGGAGGGCCCTTGCTTCTGACTAGCATTGATGATGTTACCTATTTTGGGTAATGAAATGCCTGCAAGAAAACAACCAAGCTCAGAGTGCCAGGGATTCCTTGCTTCTTGCTACACTATTTACACAACATCTGGGGTTCACAAGGGCAATGAAACCCTTTTCTTGGGAAAAAGGGCCCAGGTGCCAGTGTATGGTTTAGTGAGATTTAATGTGATGTAATCTCTTCATTATATTTCCAGCATTTTGTGGAAAAAGAATTAGTCATTTTAGCAATCAAGATTGAAGTTCTGATCAAAGATAAAACACTTTCTACCAACTCAAAGTATATCTGAAGTAAATTTAATTTTCCACAGCAATTCCCATTGTTCCTTCTCTATAATTGTATTCACATTGATTTAACTCATGCTCTCAATCACTTTTATAATGAATTATGAATTGTGTCCAACAAATATTCGGTATTTCTTACTGAATATAACAAATATAACATTTTCAAATTCAGCCAAGTCTGTTTTCTCATTTCCATAATTCTCTTGTTGCGATGTTATTGGAAAATAAGTGCCAGTCCTGAGGCTTATATATCATAATCATAAGTTTATTTTGTCAAGCATATATAAGATAACAGGTAAATTATAATTATAATATAAACATAATTTGAATACATGAAAAGAGTAAGTAAAAAGGAATATTAGGACAGGGACGGTAGGCACGCTGGTGTGCTTATGCACGCCCCTTACAGACCTCTTAGGAATGGGGTGAGATCAACAGTAGACAGTTTAAGGTTAACGTTTTGGGGGTTTGGGGAATATGTCACACATGTAATAGGACGTCCCAGTTTCTAAGGCAAATGGATCTGATATTGTCTACTGGTAACAATAAACAATCATGCTGTGGGATGATCCTCTTATGTTGGTTATTTGTATACAGGCTGGTTGCAATTAGTGCAAGTTCAAACAATATAATATTTGATTTAGTGCAAGTTGTAAATTGATACCAGGTCATGTTTAATGGGATCCCAAATTCAGTTAACATGAGGCTAGTGTGTGTGCAATTGAAGATAATACATGCACAGTCGCATTTGGGGTTTAAGATGCTGCTAATCTTCATGTGTGCAAAATGGAGAAAAGAAAGATTCCATCAGAGGAAAACAGTACAATTTTAAAATAGAAGATACTTGTTATTACATTAGAGCAAAAACTTAATGTTACTGTAATATTTAATAAAGAAAATTTGTTTTTTAAAAAGGAAAATACTGAAACCAATTAAATCTAAAAGAGACAGAGCTTAACTTTGCGATGATGATGATGATAATAATAAAAAATCTTGCAATCTGAACAAGTCTCAACTGATAAGTGTCTTCTTCCTCTTGTAAAAATAGGCATTTAATAATGAATTGGGGGTGGGGTGTGGAAGTCTGGACTTACTCTTTTCCTATACCTATTTTGGTATGGCTCCACCTTCCATCCTTTCTAAGGTAGGTAAAATGAGGACCCGGTTTGTGGGGGCAATAAGATGACTTTGTATAAAATATACAAAAGTATGAAGGCTATTGCTTAACGCATTGTAAGCCGCCCTGAGTGTCCGGAGAAGGGCGGCATATAAATCAAATAAATCAATAAATAAATAAATAAATAAATCAATAAATAAATTTTCCTATTCCCATTGTATCAAATATTCAATAAATTGCTTGGTATAGTCTTCAAAACTGTGTATTTCCTGTGTACATACAGCTTGATATAGCTATGCAGCATTTTTAGATGAGTGGCTTCCTTCTATTAAGAGATGGAACCGTAGGGAAATATGCATAATAGTGCAATTTGAAATCTGGTGCTACTTGACCACCTCCTCCTTTTGAAGTCCTTGAATTTAAATTTTGGCTTTGTATTACATTATATATATAATGTATTGCTTGTCTGGGCCAGCTGTTTAATACCTCATTCTCATTAGAAACTGGAACCATTTGAAGTAGAGTTCAGACCTAATGCAATGTAGCAATTTAATTTCAAAAGAGTTGACCGTGAAGTTTCTTTCCATGGGAGGAGGCATAACCAAAGGGCATTTAGAGGCCTGGCAGGGGGCATAAGTGTA